TGGATGAAGTAATGAACACCTGGAAACAGACATAATTTTTAGGCACACTGATAAGAAAGAGAGAACCTTGACACCATATTCTAATTGGGGGATTTATACATAGTAAGTGTGAACTAGCAAATATGAATATGATCAAACTCAGAACATTACTTTGCCTGCTTTTGAAAGTAGAGTGAGCATAGTCTTGACAGTCCTAGGGGTCACAGCTTTCTGAAGTGCCCCAGGAGAAAGGTGGCTCAAGCTGTGAAGATACTCCTTCACTCCAGGGGTCCCTGGGGTAGGACCATGGGGATTACTTTGTCCAGTTTGGGACATCATGATCAGGAGTTCACTCACTGAGGGCCTCTTCTTAGGGTCATGTTGTAGGCACAGCTGAAAAATGATGTCCCCATTAGGATTCCATGTCATGTAGTTTGCCATCCTGTTCCTTAACCTTTTGAAGAGTGGGCTTTTTTAACAACTGCAAGATCCCCTGAAGTGAATATATGGAGGACAGGAGAGTGCCAGCCCATAAATATATGGGCATACTTCTCAAAGGGTTAAATACTAAGGCTAAGTTGGCCATACAATAGAAAGTAGATCTTTGCTGTAAACCTTAACAACCAGAAATGATCTTGCAAAACAGTGAAGTCAAAGGCATTTAGACATGAGATTAAATATGGCAGCCTACCTACCTTGACTATCCTTTGCAAGCCATCATCTGCAACTGAGGGATAAGATATCACAGTATTGGGATTCCGAATAGCATCAATTCTTGAGATGAGGGACTGAAGGTGCTGGAAAGGTGTGCAGCCATGAATCATTTGATAAAGGATGCATCCCAGGGACCAAATATCTGATTTAGTCCCAATCTACAAGAGAACATCATGAATGGTGATGGCTCTGATAAGGATCAACATGTACAATGATTTTTTTTCAAGATACCATACTAACATACCTTACATCCAAAATCCCTGGAATTTTCCAGGGCTTCTGGACTCATGTATGATATTGTTCCATGAGGTGTGTCACGAAGTACACTTGTGGCTTCATTCTGCAACATGCATGAGATTCCAAAGTCAATCAGTTTCAGGTAGCCCTTTGCCATAATGAAGTTGGCAGGTTTCAAGTCTGCATGAATCACATCTGCACACCAAGCAGAACAAAAATCAGGTAGCACAAGATATATAGCATACCTCAGAATCTTGATGTATCACTAAAATTGAGAACATACTTTTGGCATGAATCTGTTGAACTGCTTGAAGCATTTGCTCAAAGTAGAAACAGCATTCTCGTGTGCTCCATTGACCTGGCTTCTGCTTGAAGATTGTTTGGAGATCACAATCGCCACGTTCCATCAATAAGTACAAGGTTCTCTCACTTTTCCGGAATTCACTTCAATGGACAAGAAACATTGATAAGTTAGGGTTGGTTTGAATAGTGATAACATTTACAAGATAACTTTCTTTTTACACCAAAAGAAGAATTATAGTAGAAAAAAAAGATCCTATGCAGCATAAAGAGCAAATTGTTAGTGACTTGAGTAAACATGATCTCAAGTATAGCTATGGCTACATCTTCCTGTGAACTGTAGGTGGCTGCTCTTTATGCACACAAAACAGAACTCCTTGTGTCATTCACAGGCAAGTTTGACGAGGTGCATACTCAATGTGTATCATAACTGACATACATTTTCTTCATATGTAATAAATTAAGATAATTTTCATATTTATTCTCTTTCAATATAACATTCAGGCAATTAGTGGAACAGTCTACAATAGATGGGGTAAATGTTGGGATAACCAAGTGTCCTGGTATCTGAAGTTACCAACACAAAGTCATCATGCAAAACCAAAATCAATCCCTTAATTATCCTATCTGTGAAGAGTGAAAAAATATGTAGGTCTCTCTGTTTTGCTTGAAGATTTGCCTAGAAGAGAATGTATATGAAACGTTAACTGTTTTTCTCCAAGGTCATGCAGTAAAGGCTGACAACCCCATAACCCCAGTAATACCCAAACAGTTTCAAGGGAAGCTGTTAGGGGAGATGGAGACGTGTGGATCTCAGAATCATACATGATTCTAAGATCCACAAAATTCAAGCAAATGTTTTTGGTGTGTTTCTCAAGAACCTGGTGAAGAATGAAGAGCTGGCTCATGGTGTTGAACCCTACACAAGAGCTACACTGCTCCTTTTGGAAGGCTTCTCCCATTATTGCCCATGTTCTCTTTTATAGCACCTTGACATAGATCTTCCCATGTATGTCAAGGAAAGAAACTCTATAGATACTGGAGCAATCCTTGAAGTCCTCCTCCTTAGAAAGAGGAACCATCATGAGTTTGCCCGACTGTAGGTGCTGCTGCCAATATCTATCCAGTCTGACACAGCTAATGCAGCCATGAACACTGCTCAGTGCCCACTGCTTTAACTGCCTCTGCTTGGATTTCATTCACACTAAGAGGCTTCCAATTTTTCAGACTAATGATAGCTTGCAGAACTTCCTCCACAGTGAGAGGACTATCAATATGGTTTAAGAGTTGGGTGCACTCTAATCCACCATGACTTAAGAGCTCTTCAAATTGTTCCTTCCACCTCTGGATTTCTACCTTGGCAACCAACACATCCTGGTTTTGTCTTTGATGACCAACATAGAATGTTGCCTGTCCTGGAAGAGTCTTNCTTTGCATAGTTTGCCAGTGCACCTTGGCAACAAGACAGTAGTCAGATTCCATTTGCTCACTGAATTTTTTCTATGCCTCCTTTTCTTGCTACAGCTTGAGCAGCAGCTTTATGCACTAATTTACCAACTTTATTTTACCTAAATCACCAAATTCAAAGTCTCATATGTTAAGAGACAATCATTTACCTATTGGGCTATATCCCTTTAATTGCTCCTTCTATTCTCCTCCAGGTCTTATACTAATATCTCATCAGCTCTTTTACAGTAATACAGTAATTTAAATTTCTGTTCTTTGACCAAAAGAATAAGAAACTAACCTCAATTTAAAAATCATGGTTCAGGTGGTTTTCAACATGTTTGCTGTCAACAACAGTTGCCACCGTTTTCAAACCCAACTTACTAGTAATGCTTTAATAAAGTTTTCTGGTTCTTTGCTTGGGACTTCTGCCTAAGTATCAGTGAATTGCAAGAAAGAAGTGAGGAAAAAAAGCCGATGGTAATTTACCCAAAACCAATGGAGTTTAGAAACTCTTGGAAATTAATTCATTTTCAAAGCAGGAAAGAGAGATAATTTTTACATAATAGAAAGTCTAAAGAAGCACATTGTAGGTATAGAAACTGGGGTAACATCAGTCAGGTTGATAGGCCATATAATTCTGACAACTCTGCAATGGGTAATCCTCCTTAAAATGTAAAAAATAAAAAAATAATAGGAATCAAACCAAAAAAGGAGATTTCTTCCAGTGTTGGAGTGCTTTTTATGTCATTATACAAAGGTTGGGGTGATGTTTTCTTATATTCCAAGTAAGACAGAGGAAAGATGGAGGCAGAAGTTCAGCAGCACTGATGGTTGCATCCAAGTGTCACATTGCATCCAACATGCTGCAACCAAGAAAGAACTAGAAATTGATTCACTCACTAATCAAAGAGGTGGATGACTCGGTCACAATCTTTGAGTTTCCATAGGAGTTGTATTTCATTCCTGAGCTCTGCTTCACTCTCACGCTGACTCATCTTTATGCACTTAAGTGCATATGTCATTTCTTTCTCTGGATCCCAAACCTTGACAGTGAATAAGACAGAGGAAAACAAATTACTCAAAAGTTTGGACTAGATAAAGATTGCAGTAGGCCTATCTTAAACCACTCAATGATTTTTGAAGCACTGAACCTGATAGCATGCAAAAATGACACTGCAGGTTTTCCAACGAGAGAATTACACTCAAGCCCACCTGGTAAACAGAACTGAATCCACCTTTCCCAATAAGGCCAAGAACGATGTATTGGCACCCATTAAAGGAAACCTTGGTATGCTTAGGGAGATTCAGGGCAGATGAATTGGGAGAGCTTGAGGTTGAAGGTTTGGAGTTCACTGAAGGTTTTCCTCCAACTGGGGTAGATGACCTACCCTCAACATGGTGGGACTGCTCAGTTTGGTTACCAAGAGCAGCCTTCCCCATGTTCTCACTCTTTGAAGATGAGACAGGCTCCAAGATAGAAGAGGATTTCCTCAAATCTTGCTTCACAGATGATGATTGAGACTGTACAGGCTGCAAGACTTTCCGAGCACGAATGGGTACAAGATCAGCAGAAGTCTTACTCTGAAGCACTGGCTGTCCCTCACGGGATGATCTATTGAGTATTCCTTTCCCTACATTTTCATCCTTTAGCTGAGAGGAATGAGAATTGTCTGTAAAAGTCTCAACAGCATTTAACTGTTTCAGTTTGAAAGTACCACCTGTCCCATGATCCCATTCCTTCGGTTGAGAACTTTTACTTTTGCCTTCCTGATCTTGGTCATGAAGGATCCTTCTGCTTCCAATGGGCTTAAGCCCTGATGAAGCTGCTGGTTTTCGACGGCTAGAAGTGCACCTTCCTGGCATCCACTTTCCATGAGACAGAGATCCAGATGAACAAGAGAGTTTGGAATTTGCTAAATTACTGTTGTCACCTTCCAGTCTGGATTTGGCCATTTCCTCATAGAAGTACTGGTCATATGCATCATCATCATCCTCCCCTTTAGCAATTGGTGTGCCATCTGTCCGTTCTGAAACAGTCACAAGCACTTTTTGTGCTCTGATAGACCTATGAAATGGGAAAAAAGTGTTATTTTTTAAATATGAAAATCATATCATCACCATACTTAAAAGTAACCAGCTACTGCATCCCATTACTATCAGACACTACTGCAGCAAACAAGAGCCAATATTTACTTGTCTCATAATAAACTGAAGATGTTCCTTCATGTAAATACTTGTTTACCTTTTCACAATTTTCATGCAGTTACTGTAACCCCTCAAGCATGACTTTCCTGGTAGGCAGCCACACCTCCAGCAGTGAGCATGAAAATGGAATATGATGCTGCACACAGTTTGAATGGTTAGTATGCATTTTGAGTCATTTCTTCTTCTTCATGTCCTACTTTGTTTTTAGATTCCTATTTTTTTACCTCTTGCTTTTTGAGCTTTGACACTTCATGATAATAAAAGAGTTTGCAAATAAAGTGGACAGTGATTTCATATGAACCTATGCAATGCATAAATATAGCTTTCTGAGATGCTCTAAAGGCCTATTTCCATTGATCACTACAGGAGCATAGACAAAACAAGCAATCCTAGCTGACCTAGATTATGGTTTTAGGCCTACAACTTCAGAGAAAATTCACTTACAGGGGTGTGAACTCCGAATACTGCATGGCATCACTACTGGTAGACTGTAATTTAATTTCTCGTGGTTTCATTCCTTCATGCTGGCAAAGCTACATGTGAAGCCATCCTTGCAGGTGAAGCCGAGCATGAGCTCATCTAGCAGAGAAATCCAGACTTGCATGATGAGCATCACTATAGGCCTGGGCCTATAATAAAATAAGCTTAGGCTAAACAGGGATGTATTAAGGCCAGGGTTTGACCAATGAGTCAATTATGATCTCAAACCCAAAGCATGGTGCAGATAGTGAAAAATGTAGGGCATAGCCCGTGTTGCAACCTGAATCATGCTAAAGAAATACAGTAAGTCTACAGGTGTTCAATACATCATATCACTAATATACACAAATATATTCATATATTTGTTTACATCATATGCATTCAAGCAGTCCTGAGATGAGGCAGGTACACCTGCCTCATCTTTCCAAAAGCAGCATCATAGTCTTGAGTATTTTAATACTGTTTCTTCTAAACCTGTGGAGGACATCAGCTTTGTATCTGATATCTTTTTTTCTTGGACATTTTGAGGACAATAGTTAATTCATATATAATATGAAAAAAAGATAAGGGCATGAGTCAGAAGGTCATCATGGAATAAGAACACTTTCAAGCCCTTCTTTAGATATAGAGACATGGACAAAAGTAGAGATGAATAGCGAAAAAGGAGGCAGCTAACTCACCTTATTCTAAGCTCTTCATCTCCCATTTGAATAAGTTTTACAAATTAAATATGCTGGCTCTTGACCCAAGACCAGTGAAACAATATATCAATGACATTCTCTAGTTACCCTGAGATCATTATATGGCTGTAGCCCCATGCAGTCACAGTCAGCTGCACATGGCCTTTTCTATATATAAAGGCAAGGACAACATTAAAATCAAGACCCTCAACAGAGAGAATGAGGGAACACCTTTGAAATGATCCAGTGTTCACTATGGACCCATGTACAAAGAGATTTTTTTTATGAAGCCCAAAAAATAAAGGGTCACTTTCAACATTCCTGTATCTTTTACATGATTGCATGAGTGTTCATAAAATTTTACATTTTAAATTTTAATTGCAAAGTCTTTGCCACTGTTCTTGTTCCCAAAAAATCTAATTGAAACATGGCAAGAGAATCTAGAGATGCAAGAATATAAAAACATCTAGTTAGATAATTTGTTGGCTATTCTGATCAAGGTCAAATATGTGATTTCCATTTGCATATGGGAGTTTACCAACAAAGCCTGGCTTGTACAGATTTGCTTCTCCTTATGAACTCATAACCTAGCAGTAACACTAATTGGGTCACCATGCAGTTTTGACTTACAAGGGCTTAACTCCTACCCTGGGTCCACTGACAAACATTGGGTAAGAACAGAGCCTTAGAATAGTTTGCAAGTGCAGTCAACTTCAATAAATCATCATTAAAAAATTCCTTACCTCTCTAACAATGTCCATCCAGTGGTCTATGTAAAAGGCCACCATATAAACACTCTCTGCTTGTAGAGGGTTAACTAATTTAGTATAATCGTCCTTACATCAACTTACTGGGGAATCAGGCCCAGGGATTAGGGACTCTTGTATGATTGTGAAAAAATGGTCCAGAATTCAGGAGCTTGTCCATGCATCAACATTTTGCAGAGTGAGTGACTCAAAAGTTTAAGCCAAGTGAAATAGTCTTCGTCAATTGATTGCCAAGGTTTCCTTACTACCATTCCTGTACTTCCAGTATGAGGCAGCCTCATCCTGTACTTGCTTTTATTCATGGTTATAGCCATTTTAAATACCTTATGACAGGTACAGGTACAAGCTTTCCCAGAGGGTATGTGATTAACCTTTAACATTTTTAAACTGCCTGGGGTCAAAGATAGTCTCCACTTCCTTTGGGTTCCTGCCCTGCTCCTCGCTTTCAATTCATCCATAGCATAGAGAACATTACATGAGATGTCATGCACTGAGCTGTATCATACCAATTCTCCTAGTCCTTAAATCTTCTTACACTTCGTATTAGACTTCCACTATGTTACAGATCGATCTGCTTGACAGGTTCCAGCAGCAGCAACATCACTTTGAAGCCATAGCATTCAACTGTTCAAGTTCAAGGATCCTTGCATCCCAATGGTATTAGTCGAATCACTCAAGCGTGCAACACGCCGACTAAGCCTGCTCCAAGCCTGTCTTAGCATGGACTAACGATAGACACTCTACACTAGGCTAGGCCTTAACAATGGGCTTAGAGGCAAATCCACTTCTTTCCACTACGTATCCACAACGTTTGACGTCGGCTGTTTAGGTGACGTTAAACGGAGTGCTAATGGCTTAGTCTATATCGGATTGACGTGACTTCAGGCATAAACATAGGGACTTAAGTTATTCATGGAGCTCTTTCGAACGCTTGTTTCTCTCCGGTTATCCACATCCAGATGATCTTGGCAGTGATTTGCAAATAAATTTGTAATCGGCTCCATAAGCCAAACGTCCTTCATGGAAGATGGCCCGTCGTCTGCATGCGAACACCATTGGAGTAATCGCCACAATGTTAACGGTAGTACAAATTCACTCTTAAACCTCTATTTACGGCGCCATGACTTGAGCGGCGAGGCGGGAATGACGTCACTGCAATGCTGCACCGGGATTGGGTGCAGCATTACAACGCACCCTCCTAACCCATATCCCCTCTCGTCTATGGTTCGACGATATGGATCCAACCTCAAATATCGTTCCTGTCAAGAATTACACCGTTTTCGAATTGAATCCTCCCCTCTCCCATAGGAGCGCTTCCAATGATTGCAGGTGGTGGCACCTTCCAAAAATTGGTTCTTTGGATCAACTGTTGATGCTGATCTTTTAGACCAGGGGTCGGGAACCTTTTTGGCCATGTGAGCCACATTAAGATTGAGCCAAGTGCTCCTGAGGCAAAGATTTTCGGAAAAAAAAATTTTTCCCTGAAGTTGGCAACAAACATATGCATTCTTTGACACATGAGAAAAATGAGGAACAGCCATGCTTTTTAACCAAGACTCATGAGCCAAACTTTTCGGTTCGTGAGCCAAATTTGGCTCATGAGCCATAGGTTCCCGACTCCTGCTTTAGAGGTAATGGTCCCTGTTGGAGGCTGTCAGGCGTCTCGAGGCAGCTATTGGGAAGGACTCGTGCGTACAGGAGTCGATTACTTTTGCTCCATTTTCTGGAGCAAGGATAGGATGTATCAAGAACATAATAAGTGTCCGATGGTGTCATCAGAGTCAGCCGAGGTGGTGCCGGTGGCCCTATACTTGGGACCAAGTCTGGCGCTGAGGCCATCATTGCCAAGCCAAGATTATAAGGGCTGTGACGCTTGAGCAAGAGTAAGGGTGGCAGTGTACGCGATTCTAAACCGATTAGAGGAGGAAGCATGTCGTGGTCTGGGTCGGAAGGATTAAATGATAGGTTGGCGGAAGTCTGTATCGTGGATGAGGTGGTGTATTTGGGCACCAGGGAGACGCGGAGGGATGTACACGTACGATGGTGAGGGATGGTCTTCATTTCTCCAAGGAGGGAGCTGGAGCAGCGGGATATCAATAGCGGAGGAGATGCAGCCTTCTTTAGAATTGTACGGTGTCCTCGAAGTCCACTTACCCCCATGTTCTTTTCCTGCAATGCATTGAGCAACAACTGAAATATGTGGAACTATGATAATTCATTATGGCTAGGGCTGGCCTTAGGCATGTGTCACATGTGCCCCCGCACAGGGCGAAAATTCGCCAGGAGCACCAAAACGTGCCAGAATGAAGGAAGTTATAATGTATGCCACCCTCAGTTTTATTATAGAAACTATGAAAGCCATCCGTTTCGACGTCTTTTGGACGCTATGGATTGTCCCTTCTCCCTGGGGGGCGGGGGCTGCTCATCTTACAAGGTAAGATGAGAGTACAGCCACTGTTAACGTCAAACCTGAAGAAGAAGCGATTCGAATGGGCCAAAGAGTTCAAGAAATGGCCATTGGCAGTTTGCAAGCAAATGGTGGAGCGACGATTCCAGGTTCATCTGCCTCGGAGACCACCCCAAGAGAGTTCACTTATGGAGGACGAGGCTTTTCATCCCAAAGGTTTCATTCCCTACCAGCTTGATAGTGTAGGGATGCACGAGCAAAAAAAGGGGTCGGCCAGCTGCTGTTCATCGATGGAACAGTTGACAGCAAGAAATGCATCGAAATCTGGGAGAATGCCATTATTCCATCGGTGGAAGAACTACACCCTGATATCATACCAGCAAGATAACACGCCAATGGTTCGAAAATCAACAGATGGAGGTGCTACTATGGCCAGTCAGTAGTCCAGATATGTCGTCAATAGAGATTATCTGGGTAATTTTGAAGTCTGGCGTCAGATAGCGACGACGGAAAACCAAAGAGGGATAACGGGCAACCCTGCAAGAATTTTGGGGCACCATCACTTCAGACCATTGCGTCCATCTCGTCTCCAGTATGCCTGACCGATTGGATGCTCTAGTCACGTCAAGAGGTGAAGTCACGAAATATTAGTGTCGATGCGCGAACCATTTTGGAACGTGTGACGTGGCGCCCGAACTATTTTGGAACATGTGACGTTATTTTGCGAGTTAATAACTTTTCATCTGTTTGCAATATCGCGATTTACTTTAATCTGCAGTGACCCCACATATCGAAGTTGTCGACCATATTGAGGTTCTTTCATTCCAACTGTCCAGTTATTTGTGAAATGAAAAATAAAAAAGAGTTGGCGAAGAAAATCAGCCTGCCCGAATCATTTTGGAAGTGGGTAGTACATCTTTGATTTTTCAAGATCTTGTGCTATGTGCATCTCCTAGACCCAGCAATAGAAGGTACTCATGGCATGACATGTGCTCGATCATTAGAAAAACATCCTGTGGCCCAATTATGTTGAAGACCTTGAAGTCCTTCGGTGGCTCAAAAAAGATCTCTCACAGACCTGGACAACCTACATTTGTCCGGTCTTAGGATATACAAGCTCTGTGTGCATAACTTCCTGCCATCTGCCCAATCAAATGATATTGAAAGGATGTAAGAAAAAGCTCTTCACAAAATTTTTGGAACCGACTTCAGCAATGAACATGCTATTACTACTCTTAATGATGAGAAATCTTACCTCCCCCTTAACCCCCCCCCAAAATAAAAATATTCCTCTATCCAGTAGTAATGAAATGCTTTCATCTTTTCTGGAAAAGATTCAAGTTTGTTCACAGTGTTTATAGCATTCCACAATCCTTGTAATTACTAAATTCTTGAATGATCATTTTATGAAAGTAGCAGGGGGGGGGGGGGGGGGGAAAGAAAGGAAAAGATACTAACTGGAGAAGGTTGTGAGTAGAGGGAGAGGAATATTTGTAGTAGGGAAAGGCATAATATTTGGGTTATATATGGGAGAAATCACAATGTTTTCAAGATGTAAACAATGATAGTGTTTCCTATGGGTGGATGGGTGAACACAAATTTTTGCTTGCTTTTTTAAAATGTATAATGAAGTTCTACACCAGTAATTTGAAAATCTAACCATTTGAGAATATTTGGTTGAAGTGACTCAAATTGCACCCAAAAAAAAGCATCACTAGCATGGTTCAGCAGCACTTCTTTCAGAATGTCCCCCATGACATTCTTTGCAACCAATTTTATTTTTCTTGAGCTTCCTGCATCAGGAGGTACCTTGATTCCCAAGGCTTCCAGGGGTATGCCCAACAGCCTTGAAGCTCTTTCCCTAGAAGGTTCATTGTCCAATACCCTTGTCACAGCAATGAGGGACTCTTCACTATAGATACTCCTGAGGAACTGATACCTGGGAATCATCTGAGTGTTAAAAAAAAATAGGGGTAATTTGGGCTTGTGTAACCTAAATAACCCAGAAGCACTCAGAGGCTGTTTGTTAAAAAAAAATGTTTAAAATGTTTTTTTTTTTTTAAATGGTGGGTTGAACAGGTGAACAATGGCCAGAAAGTCAGAACATAGTCAGCATGACTCAATAATATTCATGTTTTCATGCTCTGTTACTGTACATTAGACACAAATAGCACCACAAATGTTACAATGAACCATGAAAATGCATTATATCATTGTGAGAAGACAAATATTATTTAATGGAGCCAATTTGATTTTTGGGCCACCACAAACGCCAATAAAAAATTTTCAAGCTTGACCTAAATTCATTTCCTCTACCCTACTTGGAGCTACCCAATCATCACTAAGGCAGATCTGATGCAGAGACCATGCATGCAGAGACTGTCATTCCTAAATTAGCTTACAATTTAAAAAATCAGCCATGTATGGAAGTCTAAAAAAAAAACAAACAACCTTTATTCAAAAAGGAACATCACATCATCCTGATCTCAAGAAATAGGCATCACACACTGTAAGATCACAATTGTCAGGAATGCTTCTCCCTTGAGTAACAAGCATGCTGATTCAATGTTTCATCATTTCATATAATAAGTGTCCATCACATCCATAAATCATAATCCTTCATTCAAGTCCTATTGGCATGATCACAAGGAGACCAAGCCCTGAGAGCAAGCTTGTTGGTGTGTATTCAGACATTGGTACAACTTAACAGCCATGATAATATACAAATAATTTCATTTAAAATATATCTATATAGGTGCATATCCCTTAGTTGCATAAGTAGTGAGGCTTTCAGAAACAAGCATAAGAGAATGGAAAGACAATCTAATTTTTAACCCTTTAACTATGAAAACCTGGATGGTTATATGTTTAACTCTTTGTTTCATCTCTTCAAAATACTTTGCCACATGTCATTTTATTACATGTCTTCATGAAAATACATTGAGTATTGGACTCGACAAGTTTACAGTACAGTCTACACAAGTGGCTAAATTTTGTAGTAATATTGTTCTAGGTCAAATGGACACAAAGCAGCAGTAAAAGGGTTAAATAAGTAATCTCAAAGTATCACTCCATAGTCAAATCTTATCAATTCAGGTTTCAGAAGACAAACAATTTCATTGGATTATTGAAAGTCTGACTGAGTGACCACTTAATTTTCCTTTCATATTCTGGAAAAGAAAGCCACTCAATTCACTGCACCATATATATTCCTGCTGGCCCACTAATTGGAGCTTCTGGTAGGCATAAACTTTTCACAGCAAGGATGAAAATATGATTGAATGGGAAGATGGCTACTGAATGAGAGGGGCAATCATCAATGAAAGGGAAAAGGGCATTGCACACATTGTGTACAATATTTTCTTCCTGTCACTCTTACCCCAAGAAGGGGTAAGATATGAAAGGATTGTGCCTTTGAGATTCCAGAGGAAAAAATGAAATAATTTTGGGCTCATAATCTCTCACTTGCCATTGGATCCAGATTAACCATGTGAGAATGGCCAAGGGATTAGATGATTAATATATAAGTACTGAGGGATTTCTGCACCATTCCTTTTATCAACATTAATGGAAGTGACATATTCCTGGCATTTGGACAAATGAGAGTTGACTGAACTTTTGGTAGCAGTTGGATCAGCCAGTTTCTCCCTCACAAATATAGCCAAGACTCAACACTTTCTGTCAAGCTAATCTTGAATTCAAATTCCTTTAAAATCCATGAGGATGCCTGAAGCACAAGTTCTCCAGTGATTCTGTAACACAGGGCTTGGCAAAATGATGATAGGAATCCTTGAGATAATTCCTTTCCCTTCTCTAGCAGAAGGCAGTCTGGGATGAATCAGACCAAAACAGCAACAGTTCATTTTTCCAATAGGATTCCAGGGTTGAAATAACATTTTTTGAAGGTTCCTCTGACCCAGTATTCTGCACTCTGCTTCTCACCCTTTTCGCCTTCATACTTGGAAAGCCTTTCATGAACCTGCAGCAAACACATAATTAATGTGTTAGGAGATGGAATTCATATAAAAAGTGGAGGGCAACACCACTGAAAACATCAGAAAGCACAAAACTCACTTTTTGCATCATACTTTGAAGGTCTAGGCAATGAGCATACTTAGCAAAGACTTGGCAGATTGATTCAATGAACCAAGAACCATGACGAATATCCCTGTAGCTCACATAATCTGTAAAGTGGTAAAAGTATGAGTCCCAAAGCAATAAATATGTTTTTTGGTATAGGCATATTTCTCCATCTGGACATAACAGAAATGGGAAAATTAAAATAGTAGGAAATACTTGATGTCAGGGTAGTGATGCTACTAATTTTTTTTTGTAGTGCAGTCAAAAAGATAAGGTAGTATGGGCTAGCACTGTTGCACCGTTAGGTGGATCAGCATCAGAACTATAACATCCTCTCACTTCATCTCGTCATAAAGGGAAAGTGAAAAGAAAAAAGATGGAGGAGAATAAATTAAATGGTGGAGCAAGTGCAGATATCACCATGGCAATTCATCTGAGCAGTTCATCATATTTAGTCCAAAATAATGAGAAAATAAGAAATCATACAAACTACTGAAGAAGAAACATAGACCGCACCAGTCATTCAATTCATACTTTGATGCACATGGCTTCATCATAATGATGGAGACTTACCTGGGATGGCTGAATTAGCCACAAATATATCTGACTGAACAGGAGCTGTATAAGAGTCTTCTCGGAAGGAGTCCTTTTCGAGATTGTTTTTCCGTCTTGGCTCACGATAATATCCCTCTCCCCTAAGCGTAAAATAACAAAATAAAAGTGAAACCAGATCTGTTGCAAATATATTGTATATGAATCATCAATACATCAAAGAGCTTCATTTTCAGAGTGAGTAACAGCCAGAAATACTTATTTATAGCAGATTCAACATCAATACTGCTTATTGGACTATTGCTACCAGTACTTTTAATAATTTGTTACAATGTTTGATCGATGTAGGCTAACTGGAATGCTAAGCATGCATCAACCTGATGCATGAATCCCAATTAACCAGCATCAATTAAACACTCAAACATCTTGCTGTCATTGTCTTCAGAGATTTCATCTTGGCACTGCCTTGCAGTAAGACTTTCAATGGCTCTATAGTAATTGAGTGTCACCCTTTACCTCTATTCCTCAGGTATTGGACAAGTCTTCACAGCATTACCTCTTTGCACAACCTTGAAACTTAGTTACATTTTCTTCACATCTTCAGGAGTTTTCAGACCAGGCTTCAATAATAAAATCCATCTCAGTGGCTGTTTTGGGCAATTTGTATGACACCATGGATGCTATTGAAGTGGAAATGTTTGGCAAGTTTTCTTCATGAATATTTCATTCCACACCCTTGAAACTCAAACTGATCATACACTGGTACAAGCTTGATTACTAAATTTCATGAAGATCACTCAACTCCTTGGTTGTGCTTTTTTTGGTGCTGACCATATTTGCTTTGGACACACACACATTTCAGTGTTGACATTGTCAATATTGTCGATAATGAGAGGTTCCTTCAATTTTATTAAAATAAGGATCAAAGTAATTTCTTGTTGCATGAAATAGAGGTAATAAAACTCCACAGCTAAAAAATTGAGTCTACCAAACAAGATTTTCCTTTCTTTCCCAAGCATGACTACATCTTCTCAAGATCAGACTCCATCAGGGAAAATATCACAAGTTATCCCTTTGGACATTTTCATAATTGTGCCAGGAAATATTTCTTCCTCTAAAGATGATGGTTGACAGGATTTGATCAATCAGGGAACTGATATACTGTAACACTCCTTTAAGCACTACTCAAACAATATGCATGTAAGAACCATCATTTTGTGATATTGGATGTTCTCATCCCTTTTTATCGCACTATGACTTCAGAGTAACACTGATTACTTTGAAGTCACCCATATAATTATCCAGATATGTCTAAAAATTGTATAGCCTGTTGTGAACACAGGGTAACACCTTTTTGCAAGTGTACCCATACTTGAAAAAATAAACTATTAAGAAGTATGTTTCCATTTATTCCCAAAGAATTTTTGCAGGGAAATATACTTTCCCTTCCAGAAAATCATTTGGATGAAATAGGGTAAGCTCAATTTTGTGCTTTAACCCTTTGATTTGGAGTGACATACAGTCATATAGTGACATACAGTGAGTCTCAGCCTGCATCCAAATGCCAATGCACACATTGCTAAAGCATTAAATGGTGATGTTTTATGGTAAAGCTTTCCTTGTTCTGCCATGCTCGACTTACAACATCTCACAACCCCAAGTGGAGGATAACTCATACGCTTGATGGACTCAGTCTTTGGGTAAGGAAAGTAGGGCATTGATTTTGGAGGTTACTTGTGAGACAGAACAAGAACAGGAGCTGTGAGGATGACTAGGTCAGAAAAGGGTTATGTTGTCCTACAATTTTTCCTATATTGTACTATTTGTTAAGAAGTAGTAATCTATTTTAAAAAGCAGAAATAAATTTACCTGCAGGCTTGAAAGAAGAAAAGCTTTGGTTTGCCACGTAGGGATTGAGCTTCTTCATTGCTGAAGTTCTGGATGATCCATTCCACCGAAATAGGCTTCTGGTCCACAGAGTAAACTATATATGACCCATCTTGCTGATCTCCATGACTCATCACAAGAACTACACAGCAGTCACTGTTCTTATGGAGTGAACTTTGTGCAAAGTTCTTGATTACCCTCTTCATATCCTGTTTTGAGGAAACAAAGGTAAGTTCCTGTCAATTGTTATTCATCATACATATGCATTTCAGGGACAAGAGCCAAGAATTTGGTCCCTATTTTTTGTCACATGAAGACTATGAATATCACAGGTGCTAAAAATTTTGAACACAGAAATCTTGATGGCTTTTTAACATATGTTTGAAGATGATGGAAGCAAAAGTCATTATGTACACAGTCCAAGAAAATTCATCTTCAACCTTCAACAGAACTAGGAATAAATGGAAGAGAGTGTTATGGATTTGATAGGATTCACCACTCACTGCTATACCAAGGTTATCTTCAAGCTGGACCTCAAAGTGGAGTTGTTCAAAAACATTCCTGAAATTAATAGTATCCACTGTGGCACCTCGTCTTTCTTTAAGTCTCTGAAACTTCTCATTGTTGATGATGAGAACTTGTCCCCGGGGATTGGACTGCATTTTATAGGCCTCCTGTAAGGTCAGTATTATATAGAGTACTTGAATGAACAATTACATCATAGGTTGTGTTGACAATGCATGTGTTTGGCTACATTATACAAGAGAAAAACCTGCTGGTATCAAATGCAACATTTACAGCAGCATCTACCTTTGTCAAGAACTGCTTGTCAACTGTAAGCATCAGTATACCTAAAACTACTCCATCTGTAAGAGAATGCTCACCGGAGGACCATGGCAGGTATCAGTTTTTTGCACTGAGACATTCAAATGCTGAGGAACCACAATTTGATCTTCGCAGAAGGAGTCATTCAGAAAAGGCACTGTATCAGGCTCAGCATCTTCTTCATGACTGATGGAATTAATTCCATTGCTGCTCACATTTCCATTCTCAATTCCTCTGCTGCAATGGAGTATAAATGAATTGTATGTGATCATATCTTTGAAACTAAAACAATCAACATGTGACATATGGAACTTACAAAGATTACTATTTAATCATGCCGTCTGTGTCAAACTTCCAACAGGAGCAATGATTTGCCAATAAAGAACCATAGGCAATCCTTGCACCAATGTTGGAACAACAGAAGAGGCCAAGCAAAAAGTCATTGTAATTCTTGATGAGAATATAGGGATTAACTGTGTGAAAGTTTCAGAGTGCATATGATTGAGAAGTTCTTTTGAAAAATGAATGGAAACAGTCATATGCCTACCCCTTTTCACATCCATGCTCATGTGCTGCTTTAGGATTAGCAACAGGAGAGTTTTCAGATGTTCAGATGTGTATTTGGGCAATGGAGAAGTAAATTTCCCCATGCTCTCATTAGATGGCATATAAGTGTCCAGCTGCCTCATTACAGCCGCTTGCAGGGAGGATATGGGAAGGAGAGCTTGTCATCTAGGTCTATGGAAGGATGCCTGAAGGAAAAGAAAATGGGGCAGTGGTGATTGTTATGTCAGGAAGAACAGGACTGTGATGAAAGCTTTTCTGAGTGCTCCTGGTTTCCTCTTTTTTTTTGCTGAGGAAGGAATTTCTAAAATTCATAGATTACTTTAGTGGTGACTCATCTCTTTTGATGAAATGTGACAACTTAAAGGATGTCTGAAGGAGCTCTGATAGTATGGATTAGGAAAAGGGACATATGTACATCAGTTTTTGCAAGCTTGTGGCAACCTGGAATAAAATATTTGGTTTTGGGCCAAAGTTTAAAAAAGACATTACCTAGGATACCATATCACTGAAAACTGGATACATCAGAGATGAGCACAGGAGATATCATTGCTTATCTGGAATTGTGTCTTTTGCACAAGAACCCCCTTTCCCAGAGAACTCCACAATTTTCATTGCGTTTAATGAGTCATTATGCTTTTTCGACAGTCCTGATTGTTTTTTCTTCACATTTCTATTTCTTCTGAAATTGGATTATCCTCATTGTTTTAGTCTCAACACCATAGTCATTAAGTAAAATCAAAAAGGGAGGTTCAAGGCTTGGATAGGGATGTCAGGAGGTATATCCACCCATTTTGACATCCCATGTCAAGGTCAAGCATTCTGGTATCATTTGTCCTAAGTTAAGCCTACCCCTCTTAAACATAGATTTATTTATTTAATATTATTCTTTTGGGAGCATAGCCACCTACTGTCTAGTTGCTTAAAGCTACAATGCTCCCTTTTTAATTTTGTCCATGAAAGCATTAAGCTTCTTCTTAATCCTTTGTGGTCCATTTCATTTGTAATGCTATGGAGATTGTCAGACTATGCCCGACAGTGGAACACAAAGGGTTAAAGATAGTCACAGTAGGACCTCACTAACCTTTTCTTGAACAATCATACATATCATGGCAATGATGTCTTTGTAACCACATAAAATATATTGGCATCAATATGTATAGATAAATACCTCAGTGCTAGTGCTATACTGAGACTGCTAAGGCCTGCATTTATAACAACGGCAACCCCACACTCTTTCCACTTAGAATAGACCTAGCTCATACAACATTTCACACAATCCAAGATCAAGAAATGAAATGAAACTCACTTATCCAGTTCATCCCTGGAAATTGGAGGGAGATACTTCCACAGCTCAAGGTCTGGTTTGAGGATACGAGCTGCACAGAAATGACCTGTCATCATAAGGCAATGAAGGAAGTCTTCAAATGCAGTGGGTCCCCTTTTTGCAACATCCAGAAGCAGTCTCAATTTGTTTTCTCGTTTCTAGAATGAAGAAACCAATTTTTAATATGCATCTTCCTGGTGTGAAACAGAATAGAGCTGTAACTCCAATCTGATAAGTCAGATCACATGCATGGTGAAAAGCCTGAAAGTTCCATGATCAATGACTTCTCATTCAGACAGAATCAGGTTGATAATGCTAAGTATAAGGGATGATAAAAATTTTCTGACCTTGCTATCTGCTATTTAGTGCATATTAAGCCAAAATTTCCCTGTGCATGCATGCTGCATATTTTGTTTCTATAAAATGGTCATCCCCTGCTACTTTCTTGCCTTGTTTTAGCTTTGTCAAATGCACTAATGGATCTCATTGGGTTAAAAGTCCTTATTAGCCAAGAATTTCTTCAAAACTCTTGCATGAGTTTTGCTTAACTCACCAGGCATGTTGACTCTAGGACAGAAAACAAACAAATTTAACACAAGACAAGAAAATATAAAAATGTTCATTCTACAGGGAAGTCCAAAAGTCATAATTGGATTGGCTTTGTTGCAAAGTAGCTTGTGATCATTCACGTTCTCAAATATTTTCAACACAGTATGTATGCTTGGAATATTTCCCATAGATTGTACATGTATCCATGATGCTCACTGTCATGGTCAATGCCATACATGTTGAAACATGTCTTGCACACTCAACTTTAATTGCTTCAAGAGTTACAGCTACAAATGCAACTGTGTTGAGCATGATGGCATCTGGCAGGATATTATTGATCTCTGAGCTATGCATGTTGTAATGTGATATGTTCTTAATCTGTTAAAGTAAATGACTACAGTTTATGCTAAATTCTGTTTCTGTGGTGATGTCATCATGTACAATGCAACTGCATTTGTGGCCATGATGCTCTAATTGGGATGGGTTATTGACTGGTCAATAAGGCCAACTTTTATTTTATTATTCCTGCACAGTTTGTGCTCCATTTTTATTTCATGACTCATGAGTGAGAGGCTAGGCATGGGAGTTAGCTGGCCAATATGGTCACTTCTGACCATTTATGGACAATGATGGTCAACCAGTCCAACAAGAGGTTATGCCTTATGACTAGGGCTGTACCAATGTATTGGCTGCCAGAGTTGCACTATTGGTGCCATCAGCCATCTGCAGGTTTGCAGGCTGCTAAAAGGCAAAACTTATGAGTGAACGTGTGAACCCGAAAACTATTGATAGGATTACATTTCAGCCCTATTCTAGAAACTAGTGGAGGAAAATAGCTGTAAAGAACAGGAAATCCTTGCACCACCTTTTATATTATGCTTTTGTGAGAGATGTGTCGCTAAAGGCTCTTAATAGCAGCAATAGGTAACAAGCTAGCAACTGACAGAAAAAGGGCAGACAGTACCAAATATGGTCTCTGTCATTTTCGGGGGTTCCCCTGACAAGTATCATAAGGCATCCAAATAGGTCTATTTGAATTAGTATGCAATTCCATGTCACTTCTGAATTTTCAGACAACCATTGGTATTGGCACTGGCCGATGGTTATGAGATGAAAATCAGCTGTTGGCCCACCAGTCAAAGGTGGCCATCGGTACAGCCCTACTTATGACTGTATATGATCATAAATGACCATGTTGACTGGTTAATATCTCATTGCTAATATAAACTTTACCATATAGATTGTATGAGTTGGAACATTAAACGGTAATCAGTCATGTTTCAGAGATAAATTCTGCAACTAGGTAGCTCCATAAGTACTCTGAATAATGAGGAATACAACACATAGTTTCCAAAACAGGAGTTTCATGGTTTCTGGCATTAGCATTTATTCCTGTTCCTGCCAGAAAACAAGTTGAGCAAGCCTAGTCCAGTAGTGGGCCTCCTTTCAGTTGCTGCCTAATTGCACAAAATGATATCTCTTTCCAGTCTTTGACCATCAAAAAAATCATTTCTCATTTATATTTGGTAAAAATAGACAAACGGTGCCCATGAAACAATGATGGGACGATGGAGTGCTGTGTGTGGTTGGATCCATCCACCATGAAGGTCGGTAGGGAACTGATAGCTCTGGATGCTGACACAGCACTGCTCAAAGCCTGGGTTGTACATGCATGTGCATTGTGATCTACATCCTGAAAGGCTCATAGGTACTCATGGCTTCCCCTGTGTTATTAGGCTGTTCCAAAATAAATGTCTGAATTCGATCGCAAACTTTGAAGGGTCGTAACTCAGCTGATAATGAACATTTTTAATCGAAGTAAGCACCATCCGCTTCAACACACTTCTGCCAACAATCCCAAGGCAGGGTGGTGCATGAAGCCCCCCCAATACGGTCTAAATACGGTCTCCCAATCCCGTGGTATGTTCCTCAGAGCCAAAATCATTCCAATCCTGCTGACACTGCCACTCCTGGTGTCAATGATATCGGCCTCGTAGCTCGGCTTTAACGTAGTTAATAACATAACTTTCAAGTACATTATTAAGAGGTCAACGAGGTCCACTCAGGCCCATCCATCAAAATATATCTTTGGGAGCTACTTCACTGTTCTATTTCACGCCAGACTCATGACTGAGGGAACGGACCCCAAAATTTCCTGTCTCTCCAAGGAAAGAATTTAGAGAATGAAGACTGAGTCTTCTTTGAAGGGATATCTGGAACCTGGACGAAAAGGATTTGGAGTCTTTTAAGTTTGCACTACAGCTCCAATCATCCTCAAGCATCCTCTGCAGGCCAAATTTAATATCCAAACCCTATTGAAAGGTCCTTAGGTCCCAACTTGCCCTTGTACACACCACACTTGAGCACTTTCTTAAGAAGTGGGGGAGGGGAGCGGGGTGGGAAGATAATTTCGTTTGAAAGGGGGGTGGTATTTGCCACCCTTGCTCTCCAGGTTCCTACTATTGGTGATAAATGGCCCGACTGCAAAGGGTAGGTCAAATGAAAGAGGCTCAAATGAAAAGGCTTCCGAGAAAGAGTCGGAAGGCGAGGATCGAGTCTGAGCGGTGGCAGGATCTTAGTTTATTTACTTTAAATTAACTCAAATGCTCAATCAGAGGGTCCGCCCTCCCAATTCTGACCTCCCGCCTCGGACAAAAAAAGAAGAAAATCAGATTAAATGATTGTTACTTCGAAACATTGCCAACGAACAAGGCGATCCATGTGGCTGGATGATCGAGCTACTCGACCATCATTACCACTTTACTAACAGTTCCCTACCAGTTCCATACTAGCCATCAGTTAACTACTGGAACGAGTGATTGCCGATTCCAGTAATCAATTTCAGTTCGATTGTTGTACCCAGCTTTGTCTGATGGAGCGATCTTGACCTGATAATTGTATTAGGCTGTTCCAAAATAAATGTCCGAAATCGATCACAAACTTTGAAGGGTCGTAACTCAGCTGATAATGAACATTTTTAATCGAAGTAAGCACCATCCGCTTCAAGACACTTCTGCCAACGAGATACAAGCTTGTTGATCCCAGTCGAGTAGAAATCCTGGGTTCTGGAGGCGATGTTCAAGTGTGACACATGGACAGACAGAGCGGGACTATAAGTGGTCTCTTTCCTTTCAGGAAAGGAGGTCCACTAAAAACAGCCTCTGATTTGCTCAAAGAAGTTCTTCATAGCTAGATCAATAGCTAGAATGCTAGACTTTGGCCTAGGCATAATCCAAGTACTTGTCCCTAGATCACAGACTGAGAACGATTTGATAATCTGATGCAGACTATGGGCCAAGACCATGGTAGACCTTGCATTAAACTTAAGTTCTAAAGCTGTAACTTAGATATTGAACCTTAACTTTCAGTCATTAAGGCTGGGAGAACATGAACAGCAGGCTATGACTCAAGTGAGAGATTGTGGTAGTTTGAGTATATGCTATAATATTTTAATAGGTGTCACAGTGATGCCACATGCTTGGTGGGCTCCATGAATATAACTTCAAGATGGGACTGGCTCTTTGGTTTTAATGCTGAAGATAAATGACCATAGTTATGTGCTCAAAAAAAATTATTTCCCTAAATAAAAAAGAACAGTTAATAATGGTCAATAGACCAACCCATCCCTACTCTCTATCAATAAAAGTTGAGTGTGCAGGACATGCATAGCAGTTAGCACAGCAGAGGGAGCATCATGGAAACACATACAATCTATGAGGAATAGTCCAGACTAATATACCAGGCAATGAAAATATTTGAAAACATGAATGTTTGCAAGCTGCTTTGCAATGAAGCTGATTTAACCATGACTGCTCTTTACAATGGTGAGTTGTGCATGCATGCAGAGGAAAATTTATTTGCAAACTGCACAAGTGGAAGGTAATGAGGATTGGAACTTTTTGATAATAAATAAGAGATGATTTTATGAAGAACCCAAAAATGTTAGTGGATCTCAGAGATAAACTCTTGCACACATTTGCAGGCCTGAGACTTCATGAGCAATCAACAAATAACAGAAGATTTATTTAAATTGAGAACAAGACTTATATTACAATGAGAAGATAGCAATTTTTATATGAAGAAATGTTATGTCAGCTCATTTTTTAGCAGTCTTGTTAGCATTTGTTCTGAGTCTGGACAAGAATCTAACACAGAAACATAGTGAGACAAGATATCACTATTTCATTCAACTGATTCATTGAGAATATTCTTACTGTACTCTCACCCTGTTTTCAGATGGGGATAGCACATGGAAAGTCGTTTAAAAAAAGGATCATGTGCACATAAGTCTGGGGAATATGTCCCTACCTGTAGTCAGAAGAAGTGCTCCAATGGTGAGTTATGGATTCAATTAGAAAGCAGTCTATATATTTACAAGTTATGACTTCACAAAATAACTTACTTACCTCCATTGGACAGTAGCTTTCTAACATCTCACGAGAAAAGAGCCTCCTTTCCAAGAACTTGGCTGTGAGATCTGCACTCAAGTCAATGTTCTCCATCAATTTTGATATGTTTGACTGAATTATTTCTCGGTCGTCGTTGTTCATCTATGGATAATCACAAGGTGATTCATAAATTAAACAAATACACCTCTGTGAGTCTGAAACTTTTTTTAAATAATCACAGACATTTTGTTTGAAGAAATTTATTTGAAATAGTAATGACATTTTTGCTGACAACATACAAACATAATGAATTAGCACACACCAGAAGTTAAAAAGATATGCAGACATACATTCTAAAAGACTTCAGAAAGGTCACTGACTTCTAATGTTTCAGTATATTTTACCAGCTGATAGACCTTATTATATTACTAATGCTAATTTAAAAACTCTATATAGTAAGCCTTATCTAGATGTTGGAGACAAGAAGGGAAAAAAAAAGCAGAACTTGCAAAAAATTCCACGAACACTCTCAGAGTCAAATTCCTGCATGAACTGTTCACTGCCTATATAGCAAGGACTACAATTCTATGCTATATCACCATACTACAAACATTCATTGTTGCCAATCCAAGAGTATATTTTCTATTGAAATTACTGCACATGAATGCATATGGTTTTTATTACATGATTAACCCTTTGAGGAGTGAGTTTTTTTAATGCCAGAAGATCATCCATACTGAATACATGGAAGGCAGGAGGATGTCGGCCCGTATATATACGGGCATACTCATCAAAGGGTTAAGAAACTATTCAGTAGATACCTCAATAATGATTACTTTGTAAAAGCTGGTATGCTCATGCAGCAGTTTCTTGTTTTGTGCAGGACATGTAAAAATTTATTGAGCAGACTATTCTCATGTAGAAATAACACATGCACCACTGCCACCCTGCAAAACTTTGGAGGTACTATAACTCATTAACCATTATACCAATATATTGTACCATATTCAATTCTTATTGGTCCATGCATAACAACAGGGATTAATCAAATTGAGTCTTCATTTTGAAAGATATAGGTTTGATATGGTAACTAGCATATGAATAAATATAATTAGACTCAATAAGGGTCCTAATAGGTTATGGGATTGCTGCAAACATTTTCACCATGCATAGAAATGTATGGAAAAATGTGTGGAGATAACAAATATGGACATTACATGGGATGATTCTATAATCCAATTTATGAAATACGTATGGGTTATGTATTTCCAATCATGTATACAGGGAGGGCACAAGTTACCTGCCACAAAATAAAAAAACATAACAGTATGATGTGCTATCAAAATGTTTATTACTGAATTACATTCCTATGACATTGACACATGTACCACATATTGAGTGGGAAAGTGCTCATTGGGTCAAAATTGGTGTCCATCTTGATTTACAAAACAACCAAAAACATCAGAGCTATGTGAGGCATTTATCCCCTGCACCACCCTGCATATGACTTGTGTATATGCCATAAAATACATTGAGCTAGCTATATATCTAGCTGTTTCATCTAAGGTCACACACAAAATATTCAATGTTTTCAATCAATAATCTGACATTATTTGTAGCATTCTCAAAGATTTTACAGAAGCTCAAAACAGACATGGGCCTATGATTGGATATTTCCTGAAGGGAGTCATTATTTTATGCAATGCTAGTATTTTGCGTGTTTTAGCAGATTCAGAAAGAAAGTCTCTGTGTAATAAAAGTGGAATACATGAGTGAGGCATGGAACAGTAATAAAGGCTGCTGGTTGAACATTGAAGGTAGAAGCTCAAATATTTTACAATCTGGGAAAGAGTAAAGGACAGAAATACCATCTAGAAATAAGCCTACAGTAAAACACACAAGAGACATGGTTGTCACCAGTCAAGTAGTAATTCTAGATTATCAAACAGGTTCTTCAAAGTGCAGCAGCTCCATACAGTATCAGACCTAATGAATTTGGGTGACATAGCTTCGGCCAATTGCTGTGTGGACAGGTATGGGATGTGGTCTATGAAGTAGTTGGGTAGTTCTTAATAATAAAGATTTCTTAAGATTGGGTGATGGACTTTCTAGCCAACTAAGGCCATGAGCTAAAAATGAGAGGTATTCCTTCATCACGTGCACACCTAGTATACACACACTTTGTCTCACATAGCTTGTTTTGTACAAAACACGCTGCCCGACATAACAGCGAGCAGTACATGTAGGCATGCTGAATCTTAGCTCTCCAGAGGACTTCCTTGAGGAAGACCAGAACAATGCTCAGTGTATGGAGACCATGTATGGCTGTGATTCCCATACAGGAATGAGAACCGGCAGAAGTAACATCTCAAAGGTGAGTAGATAGAGTGGCCATATTCAGATCATGACTGCCATTCTTAAGTGATTCAGAACTATGAAAATCCTACTTCTGATGCTGCATGAACATGCTTAAGCTTATATAAGCAGGTGTCAAGTATCACCTTCCCAATCTCAGAAGAAATGAAGGCAATAGTGTTGGGGGGGGGAGGTGATAGGCCTGATTGGAAGGGAAAAGGCAATCACATATCTTCTATACGTGGCAACAAGGTCTACTGGGCATTCATCCTGCTTTCTGATGTGTCAGGCAATGCATTCCGCATTGAATGTGGGAGTGGAGGTTCAGTCCACATTGGAAAATGGTGTGCACATAACAAGGTTGAGGTTAATTTGGATTTGAATTGAGTGATTCTCTAATCCATCACTTGTTGGGAGAGATTCAGTGCCTTGTTCAGGATCCATCTCTTGCCAATGATGTACACAGGAAGTTCAAATGCCCAAAGGACTGGGATTTTCAGGTGGGTGAGATGTTTTATGACAGTAAAATTTTCATTGAGTCTCCCCCACCTTCCTTGAATACAGAGCTTCCCACCCTAGAACCCTATGTATGCCATTGCCTCTTGTAGTAGGTAAAAGGAATGAATGAATAATTTGAATGAATTTAGAATTCAAAATTCCCTGGAGACCTCTTGTGGCAACAAGTGGGAATGCTTAGTTAAGATTAGGGGAGGAGTAGAGGTATACTCTGAAGTTTGGCTTAGAGATTATACCCATAAGAGAAGGCACTGCAATTGTAATACAGTGGATTCATTTCTTCATAATTTCAAGCCACTTTTGTAAAAGTCTGATCTGAATGGCAAGAACTGAGGTGTTGTCCTGAAACAAATATCAATGGATCAGGGATGAGAGAAATTTAACAATTCACCTCCAGTTTCACGTAGAGTATTTTATCACAATGTCAACCGAGCAAATGGATGAAAGCAGAAGAAAATGAAGAAATAAAATGGAAAATGTCCTGGTGCAATGAATGTAGGCTTATATTCTTTTGAGTAATAACTTTCATATTACAAAGCTTGACTGAAGGAAAGTGAAAAAGGATTAGGGTAAACGTGACTAGCCGTCAACGCTGGATTTGTTACCAAGTGCGACGAGCAAATATGTGCACTTTTTGGTGTGTTTCATGGATTACAATGCCTCGCAATGGAAGGCAAGGAAACCAGTGAGAGATCAACTGACACTCATTGCCCATAGAGCAGTGGTTCTCAACCTTCCTTTTACTCCCATTGAACCGTCATGCATTCGGGGGATTGACACCTCCCAGGTTGAGAACCACTGCCATAAAGAGTCACGCCGACTAAAAATATCTGAGGAAGACGCCATACTATCATGACGTTGAGACATCAGAGGTGCTGTTGGAGTTGTCGGTGTGTGTTATTGAAGATGAGGTTCTTCTCATGATTAATCGCTTTCATATGATTTTAATAACAGGCTCTGTGATAACATGAATTACGCTTCATCGATTCTGCGGTTTCTCAACCTATTCACTATTAGAGTCTCAATGACATGCAATTCGGGAACATTAATATTTTGTGCGATCCCTGTTTACAAAAAAATGGGACTCATGAGTCTCAAGCATCTCGCAAGTTCTATGGCGCCCACGAGTACCAAGTTGAGAAATTACTCATCAAAGTGTATTTCATCGCGCAAGAAAATTTGGTCGCAGTTCTGATTTCTGCCGGTGGTCCCGTGATCTATGCACGTCGAATGTACCCGACACATGGTGTGCAAACTCATTCCGAAACAACAGTTGCCTACCCTAGTCTTAGACCTAATGGTTTTAGACCGAACGTCATACGACTTGGTCTAACATTAGGATAGCGTGGAGTAATCTTGTTGCCCTACATTTTCAAATCATAACTTTATTGGTGATATCCAGGGCTGTTCTGGATCCAAGTAGGTTATATTCAAATTTGTTTTTACCACATTGCATACATAAGCTTTCTAGCTGCTCAAAAACTTAATTGAAGTGAATAAGAGGAAAGGTGGAAAATGGAGGTATAATGATGATAGGTAGAAAGACTGACTAATTTCTCAAAGTGAGCTTTAAGTCTTTAAAGCTCACTTTGAGAAATTAGTCAGATCTCACAATGGGTGTAGGACGTATGTTTTCATAGATCTATGGGTATGGATTTGAAACAGGTCTGGCATAACTTGCAGCTGGCCTTTCCCTTGAATTGCCTAGACCTGTGATGTAAGTACACTGTTTTCGGATTGAATTCGCACCCCCAATAGTAGGTAGTGACATCTTTCACATGGTGGTTTTATCTATAGCCTGCTGAGGCAGAACCTTTGCTGGAAATGTGTGCTTTCTCCATTCTCTATAGCCAGTGGTACAAATTGAATATGGAAGCAGTGTATGCAATCTTCAGCACTCTCATAGTGATATAGTGATGTTTCAAATGCAAGGTCTAGACAAACCAATATTTGACCATCAGATGTAAAATTCAATTTGAATCCAGTTGTGATTGAAATTTTGACAAGCCTAGACTTATCTAATACTTTAATTAAAAGAGGCTGAAAGTTGTGGTGGCTGTCACCCCTAACCAAGGCCTATGATGCATGCCATTCTAGGCCATATGTTAGCCTATAAAAATTGAAGGAGAACAAAAGTGGTGGTAAGTGGTTGTCACTCATCCATGGCTTAACACGTAATGCCTACAAGGCTAAGCCATTCTATGCCATAGACTAGGACATAAATACTTTGGTATACTATGAATCTACTTTTAAAAGACTCACCCTGTATATGGCAATTATGACTACAGGGGGT